AGAAAATGAGCATATGACATGAAGTCGTGCCTACATAGAGGCAATGAAAAACAACGCGAGCAAAGCGAGCGCGAAAATTTTTTGGTGATTGGGGCGCCAAAATCCCCGCGGGATGAGGGAGGGGCGCCTCTTTGCGCCCTTTCAGGGCGCATTCTGGCGCCCCTTCGGGGCACTCAGGGGGGGGGGGGGGGCAATCCACCCCCTGCCCCCCCGTTCCTACGCCCCTGGAGTCTAACCCTAGTAAATGAAGAAAGAACGGATTTTAGTCGGGGAAAAGACAGTGAAAAATCAGTTATTTTAAAACTCTTTTTCCTGTGCAGTTGGACTTGAGCTCGTTCAGCCTTCCACTTTGTGTTTTCGCGAGTGCCAAAAGTCGGACGAAATCGTTTCTGTTCGCGTTTGAAATATAACATCCGCAAGTCGAGCGCGCGGCGATCACTACACATGTTTGTGAGCTGCTCCTCCGGCTGCATGTTGCTGTTACAAAGGAGCGCGCGGACAAATTGGTTCTCTAGACGACACGTTTTCGCTAAGGTGGCGTACGAATTTCAAAGTGTCAATAATAGCGAGATATATATATTTAAAAAAATGCGGAGCAAAAACAGATATAAATAAGTTTTGTTTTTTAAATTTTTAATAAATAAAGGGCTGCCGATAATTATTATAATTATTATTGCTGTCGTAGCTATGCGTAGTCTAGCAATGAGCTTTTGGATGAGCGCCATGGAAGCAGTGTTGTTATTACGTCATTTGATTGACAAAACTGCAATCAGTATACAGAGAGAGAGAGAGAGAGAGAGAGAGAGAGAGAGAACAACAACAAACACGCGTCGTAACGAGGCCCTCCCGCCTCGCCGCTGACTGACGTGGTCGCTGATAGCGGCGCCCGCGGCGCTGACCGGCCGGGCCGCGCGCACGATGCACGCGATGCACGCGATGCACGCACCGGGGAGGGTCACGCATTTATATTCAATGAGTGAATGGCTTGCAATTAGAGTTCAAGAGGGGGAAAACAATTTGCGGGGGTGGCAACCTGAATGGGGATGGGGTCGTATCGAATTCGCACAATTCACACCCAGCAACTCCTGTAATTATTTTTTTATTTTTTTGAAAGGTATAATTACATTGTACCGCTCAGGGGCGTTGGAAGTCCTCCACGGCGGGGGGGCTCAAATCAGTACTCCCCCCCCCCCTAGTTCTTACGTTTTCGCGAGCGAG